AAATCCATTCATATGGACACAGTAAATCACAGCTAACATATCCATATGCTTTAAAAAATAAAACAGGAATGTGTGTGTGTGTGTGTGTGTGTGTGTGTGTGTGTGTTTGTGGTGCTAGGAAACCAGGCAATGAAAAGACATATTTACAAATGATCCTAGTAAATTCTCAGGGACACAACGCCTGGGACGGCTATGCCACATCATCTGCCAGTGTTAGCCATTAGAAAACTTAACCACGGAACTCTCAATTTTATCTCTTGGCAAAGTGTCTAAGGGTGTTAGCTTCTGTGCAAATATTGTATTGATTGCATTCATAAGAACTATATTCCCACAACCCTCTTTAGATTTCTTTTAATAAGTACATCTTAACAAGTCATAAACACTGGCAGATATTACTAGTTAGAAGTAGAAACAGTAACAATTAGAATAGAAAGAAAAGAGAAAGTTTTGATTTGGTGCTATGGCTTAAATATGTTTAAACAAGAATTTAATTAAAACATGCATTTTTGGGGGCTGGCCAGATCGCTCGATGGATTAAGTGCCTGCTTAGACAAGCACAGGGACCAGGGTTGGATCCCCAGCACCACATGCCACACCAGCCCGTCCCCCACATGTGCTGAGCTGGTGACTGAGTCCAGGCATGGTGGCACATGCCTGTAATCCCAGTGCTGGAGAGGCTAAAAGCAGGAGAACCATTACGAGGTCAAGCTCTGTAGCAAGAGTGGGCACAAAAAACTAACAAACAATCAAACAGCATGCATTTTTCTTACGCTTAATATTTTTGGCATCCATGAAAAATACTTAATTTGAAAGGAAAATTTAACCCATTGATATGGTAAAACTTACTGTTTAGCATTGGGCTTCTCAAGGATTCAAAATTATCTTTTAATACTTACATACTTCTGTTTTCTGAGTTATGCAATGTGTCTTTAGGACAGACTTCAAATTTGTAAGACTAAATAACTTTTTATGCAAATTAATGAGAAGAAATCTGAAGTACTGAATTGACTTCAGTGCAGTCCTCCCCATATAATTTCTATCAGTATGGAAGATTTCTAAATTACAGGAATGTAGACTATTTTAATTTCCACAAGAAGGTTTCTACTTTTTGGTACATATATTTGTTGTGCTATTTTTTAAAAAAATTGTTTTGTTTTTGCTAAAAATTGTTATGATTTGAGGTGTTATTAGGGTGTTAGATTTATTTTTATTTCTCTTTTCCCATTAAAAAAGAAATATATAAATTCCTGACTTTTATATAATAGTGATTCATCATTGAAAAGGTACTGCCTGAATTACATTTTCAATACAATATTTCTCTTCAAAGAACTGGCAAAGCAATGGATTATTTTAATTTTTGATATAGTGTTTGTAACTACTGTGCTTTGAGCTAATAATTTTTAACTTGATTAAAAATTCTCAGAGAAAAACGAAGGTCATTTAATGAAAATGTCAAGGTCATTTTCAATTACAGGAAATGGGATATTTACTTATTTTTATTGAAATTAGAAAACAACTTTAAATAAAGGAGGTGGTTCGCCATGAATAAACAATATCATTAGTCATTGTCTCTTTTACTCAGAACATATTATTTAACTCTACTCAATAAGGATAGATTGGAAACATAGTACCTACCAGAACCTAAGTGCTATGTCATGTTTAAAATTGTATGCACTACCTGTAAGTAATTGAAGTGGAATTAGAGGGATGACTCATCAAATCTGATAACAAAAGTGTTATTTCTGTATTTCTATCAGTAACAAATATTCACTTTGCACCTTCCTAATGGGTCAGTCCATTAGATTAAACAGACATACACAAGCTCCTTAAATGTTACAGTTTAGAGGCATAGGTGTTTGCCATAAAAAGTTATACAGTACAGAGAGACAAATTATGGGCAAAGGATATGAGGAAGGGTCCTGAGATCACATATTATCAATACATCATTTGAGCTAATATATAAAGGTTGATTAGTTTTTTTTTTTTGAGACACAGTTTCATGGTGCCCTACAGGCTGGGCTTGGACTCACTTTGTAGCCCAGGATGACCTTGAACTCACAGTGATCCTCCTGCCTCAGCCTCCTGAGTGCTGGGATTATAGAGGTGGCCGTCACACTGAGTAGGGTAAGAGTTAAAGGCTCAGGTCTGATAGTGTAGCATGTAAACATTAGTACATATCTGCTAATTGATAAATTGTTTTGAGTTATAAAACTGACTTATTCTCTGACCTAGTAGGAGGACTTTGTTTTAGTTCAGAATTCTGTAATGAGAAAACAACCAAAATCAGAACAAGACAAAATAGGAACCAGGATGCAAGAAACAGATTTTTAACCCATAGCATCAATCAGCCAACCTCAGCAATTCTGGAATGATGGAAACAAATTGCAAGAGCACAATGCCTGCCCCTTTTCACTGCCTTCAGGAGCTTTTCGATGTGGGGCACAAGGTACAGGAAGCCAGGGAGAAGCGAGCAGACTCCCCGAGTAGAGAAGACAGTGATAACTCAGGAGAGAAACACATAGATAAAGTGTATGGGACAGGGTAAATAAGAGAACACTGCACGAGAAAGCTCTGTAGCAGGTAGGCAAGGACCTCCTGAGGTAATCCGCAAAGTACCCAAGAGCTTGTAGAGGAACCGCCCAAGGTGGGGGCAGCTCTCAGTACTTCCTGGCCCCGGCACAGAAACTTTCCTCACTCTCAACATTGCCTTTCTCTAGTAGAACATTCTTTACAAACAATAGACCTGCACTGACATTGTGCAGCTCTACCTTAAAAAATAAGCAGCCACAATTATCTAATACAGATTACTGTTGCTTTTCTGTGCTGGTGATCCAACCCTGAGCTTTATGAATATAAAGTATGCACTCTACCAATGCACTACACCTCCAGTCCTAAATACTGTTTTATTCCACACACACACACATGAATTTGCATAGCTTTACAAATTTAATACAGTAAACCACCTATCGCCTAATGGAAGTAACATAACAAATCACGTACCAGGACTGTCTATAATTGTTCATCAATAATGTTATTATTTTTTAGATTTAAAATGTCTTCCAAAATTCTCATCTGTTCTAATGCTTCTGGAAAGTTACTGAATCACAAAAGCACTATATTCATCAGTGAATTAATCCATTTATGAATTCATTGCTGATGGAGATTTTAGAAAGTGGGGTTTGGTTGCAGGAGTTAAGATACTGGGACATGACCAGGAAGGATGTGTTCCTTGTTTTCTTTCCTCTTTCTTCCTTTCTTTCTTTCTTTCTTTCTTTCTTTCTTTCTTTCTTTCTGTCTTTCTGTCTGTCTGTCTGTCTGTCTGTCTGTCTGTCTGTCTGACTGAATGTCTGTGTCTTTCTTTCTTTCTCTTGTTCTTTCTCTTGCTTGCTGACTATAATGAGGTAAAAGCTTTCCCCTGCAAGAACCCTCTACCCTGTGTTTCTGCCTAGGAGTTCACTAACCATGGACTAACCCCCACCCAAAACCATAAACCTCTCCCTATGTAAGTTGCATGTGCTGGAAATTTGATCCTAACCACAAGAGTGCTAACTAATACAGAAAATTGGTACTGGGAAATGGTTATTGAGGTGACTATACCTCATATCTAGGTAGCACAAAAGTCTTTAGAAATGGTTTGTGGAAAGAGTTTGAAAGATTTAGAGGTACAGAGAAAGAAGCCCTAGAATACTCTAAGCAGAATTTGATGGGGAAAACCTGATCTTACCTCAGAATACCAGAATACTGATAAAAATGCAGATGTTAAAGATGAAGTTTACAAAATTTTGGAAGGAAATGAACATTTTTGGAAGTTGAACCAGAGATCCCTTGTGCTATAGTCTGGAAAGGAACTTGGCTACCTTTTGCCCATATCTTAATTATAGAGGCAGATTTTAAAGGTAGTAAAACAATTAATCAGATGGAGGAAATTTCAAAGGAGCAAATGTCCAGGCTTTGGCATGGATGTTGCTGGATGCTTTTAACCACAACCACAGTGGGAATCCAGAGCCAAAAGAACTTCTAGAGGATTTGAAAATTTTACAGAGAGGCTAGAAGAAAAGTACTGGTTAATAGTGAAGCCAGGGATTACATGGTCTCTCCTCTAGTGCCCATAAGAAAGATGCCAAGTGTGATGTGCCACATAGAAAGGGCAGCTAAAGGATGTCTCCAGAGTTTGTCTGCCATCTATCACAGGCTCAAGGGAATAAAACAGTAAACTCCTTTGAATGGCTTTGCTTGGAAGGGAGCCCCGAAGAGTACTGCTCATTCAGGGCACCAGGTTTAACCACTTGGGAACTCAAAGGCTCTTGCCTCCACAGTCCATGGTAGTCCTTCTACTGCTCAATATGGCAGTAGAGGGGCCGGGGAGATGGCTCAGTAGAACAAGTGCTTCCCTGGCAAGTGCAAGGTCCTGAGTTCAATCCCTGGTTCCACAAAAA